GGGTAGAAGTCATTGCGTGCTTCAAGGCTGTAAATGCATCATCTGCTTCTGTTGTCCATTGAAACTGCCCTTTTTTTAAGAGATTGGTGAGTGGCCGAGCTATAACTCCATAATTGCGGACAAACTTTCTGTAATAACCTGTAAGGCCTAAAAAGCCGCACAAGTCAGAAACATTGGTGGGTCTAGGCCAATTAAGCATAGCCTTAATCTTCCCTTGGTCCACCTTGACACCTTGGGAAGTTACACTGTGGCCCAAATATGTGACTTCTTACTGGCCGAATGTACACTTGCTAAGCTTGATGAAAAATTTGTGATGCCTTAATATTTCAAAAGCTGTTCTATTATGTTCAAGATGCATGATCCAATTGGGACTATAAATGAGAATATCATCAAAAAAGACTAATACAAATTTTCGAAGATATGGACAAAATATGGAATTCATGATGGCCAGAAAGGTTGAAGGAGCATTATACAAGCCAAAGGGCATAACCAAGTATTCGTAATGACCATTGTGTGTGTGAAAGGCAGTTTTGTGAATGTCTAATGGGTGTATTCGTACCTGATGATAACCTGACCGTAAATCAAGTTTAGTAAAGAAGGCTGCCCCGTATAACTCATCAAGCATATCATCAACGGTTGGAATAGGAAACCTATCTTTAATGGTTACAACATTAAGAGCCCTGTAATCGGTATAGAAACGCCAAGTTCCATCTTTCTTTTTGACTAGTAAGATAGGAGAAGAGAAATGACTTGTGTTAGACCTTATTAGCCCCGATCTTAACATGTCCTGGACATGTTTTTTCTATTTCAGCTTTTTGAAAGTAGGCATACCTGTATGGACGGACATTAATTGGCTCGGTCCCTTCTTTGAGATTGATGTGGTGATCGATCTCCCTCTTTGGCAGTAGCTGCATTGGTTCCTAATAGATGTCCTTGAACTCTTCTAACAATTGCTGCATGTCCGGCTGAAGTCTGTGAGGCACGTCCTCCAATGCTGCTTGTAGACAAACGACAAATATGAAATTTCCTTGCTTCATCTCTTTTGAAATTGTTTTGAATTCCATAGATTGAATATGTTGGTTGTCAATCCCTTTCATTTGCCGACGCTGGTTCTTCCATGAAAACTCCATTGTCATTTTTTTCCAATCACAAGCCACCATGCCCAATTGTTCAAGCCAATGAACTCCTAACACCATATCCAACCCAACCAGTGGTAAAGAATAAAGAATTAAGGTAAACGGGATACCTTGCACTAGGACGTGAACATTTTCAAATCTCCCTTGGCACTTTATAGGATCACCATTGGCCACCTTCACATTAAAGGGTTCAGTTGGCACCACCGGTAATTGCAACAATTCAGCTATCCTGTCATTGATGAAATTATGGGTTGACCCACTATCAATAAGAACGATCAATTCGTGGGATCCCACCTTAGCCGAGACTCGCATGGTTCTGGTTGTTGACCACCCCGTGAGAGTGTGGAGTGAAATTTCAGGTTCTCCACGCAGGTTGGTGTGGATTCCTTCTTCGTCATCTGGTTCACCTTCGTCACAATCTCCTTCAAGCAACAACAACTGTGGTCCCTTGCATTTGTGCCCCGGTCCAAAATTTTCATCGCAATTAAAACAAAGGCCTTGAACACGCCTCATTTGCATCTCAATCCAAGTGAGTTGCTTCAGTGGTGGAGCAGATTTCAGTCTCGTTGGTGAAGAGTCGATCGTGGTCCTAGTGACTGGACGCGAAGTCTTCTCGTTGCGGTGCAGCTGCTCATCTTTCATCCTAGCCAAACTAATGGCTTCCTTCAATGATTTTAGTTTAAACATCCGAATCCCAGCTGCTATTTCAGTTTTAAGGCCTCCCATAAAGGTGCCCACCAATGTCTTATGAGTCCACCCCTGCACTCTATTCCCCAATCTCTCAAACTTCTTCTGGTACTCGCACAAGGACCCCGTCTGTCTTATTTTTGATAAAGACTCGTCAAAGTTTTCGCAATCTATTGGACCGAAGCGAGATCATAATTCTTCCACGAAAATTTTCCATGACACCTCATTCCCTTCCACCTGATAAGCCTTGCGTAACCACTGCCACCATTGATTTGCTTCTCCTTCCAGATGAAAGGAAGCCAAAGACACGTTTTGTATTTCCAAGGTACCCTGGTATTCAAAGAATTGGTCGACACGAGCGAACCATTCAGTCGGGTCATCACCAGAGTACTTGGGAAATTCAAGCTTGGCCAACTTAGAGGAGAACATCGGCCGTCCCCCTTTTGAGTTTTCACAAGAATGCCCGTAGGAGGACTGTCCGCTGCGTTCGTTGACGTGGCTAGAAGTTGGTTCCTGTCTGGTAAGCAAAGCTTCGGAGATCTTGCTAATAGCAGTCTCGAGCTGGTGTATTTTGTCATTAACACCCAGCTCCATTTTGCTCAAGTTAGCTTGAAGTCCCCCGAGCCCCGCTTCTAAATTCTCGATTCTTTTTTTGTTGGTAGCCATAATGTCGAGCTCTGATACCAATGATAGGTCCCAGTCAAAGCTAGTTAAGATATTCTACTTGAGGTGAGAATGAACCTTATAGTATTTTGTTTGAATTTCAAATTGCCCTTCTTTGTTAAGTGATAGAGTTTAAATACAAAGAGGACTCAACTACTTCCCTAAACAAAACTAGTGACATGGCTGACTAACAAGAAAATAGCTAACAATAATGGGCTTATCCTTCCTAACTGATTGACCTATTCCTATGCAAACAGAATAACAGCAATAACATTATCCTTCCTAACCGATTGACCTATTCCTTCCTATGCAAACAGAATAACAGCAATAACATTATCCTTCCTAACGATTGACCTATTCTTATGCAAACAGAATAACAACTAATGTAAGGCCCTGGCCACGTCACTTGCTGCTTGCATGTCCCATGCAATTGATGCTGCTCACTCCCCGTACCTCGGATTCCGGATAGGCACTCAGTTTGATCTTCTTGGCCTATCAGTTTGCAATTCAACAATAGAAATAACGCTTGACTGAGTGTAAAAACAAGTTTCTATTCTATGTAACAGGCCCCGTTTTGTTGGGAACCTTGGGAGTTGGGATAAAGCCTATTGGATTGAATTGTGCTCTAGGCAAAATAAATAATTGATATCTCTGGAACTGGAATGAACTTGTAAAGCTTTTTAAATCACAGTAATCCTAAGATTCTTAAACTACTAAATGCATGCAGCATGCATATGATTTTGGTGATTTTAATTTAGATCCAGATCATCTTCTCTCAATTCTTGATTACATGGCTTTATCTTTATTGCTTTGGAATATTTGGAAATCAAAGAATGATTTTATTTTTAATCAAGTACAGCCCAATCCTCATACCACATTTTTATTCTCTAATTGGATGATGGAAGCAATGTGGAAAACTTCTCATCAAGGATAGGTAGTTTTGTCAAGAATTATGGAGGTTTTGATTTAGTACTTAGAGATGATTGTGGTTTCTTCTTGCTTGGAAAGAATGGTCATGTAATGCTTGCCTAAGCCTATCTTGTTGGTTTTATTCAATTTTTCAGGTTTGATTTTGAGTTTCTCTTTCATCAGAAGGGAGGCCAACTGTGGTCATGTAACCCGTGAATTAGCAAGAAGGGGTGCTGACAGTCGGTAGTCCGTGTGGTCTCATCCTCCAGAGTGGCTTTTGATTCCTTGAGAAAGGGATACGCAGCATCCTCCGCCCTCCTAAAGAGTTGTTGGGTTGCTTTTCTTAGTTGTTTTAGATCTTTAGTTTTCTCCTTTTGTTTATTTTCTTTATTGTAGTCTTCGTTTCTTCTCTTTTCTGCTTTGTCTTCGTTGTTGGTGTCTATTTTTCTCCTCTATGATTCCAATACTTTCTGGCCATGGTTGAACAGTCCAACCGCTTGACCTGAACGGTCGGCCCGTTCTGACAAAAAAATAAAAGAAAATTTAAAAATTTTGAAAAACAGTCAAACCATTTGAACAGTTCGAACGATTAATCGGCCGGTTCAACGGTTTGCTGATCAAAATCAACGGTTTTGGGGAAAAATGAGTGACTGTTTTCCGGTTTTTCTGGTCCAACCATCTGGTCCGATCTGGTTTTGAAAACCATGTTTCTGTCTTCTTGCAATTGCCCTGTAATGATTTTTTTTGTCCAACGTCAAAACCAAGCCCAATCTAGCATGTAAGACAGACAGGGCATGGATCAAAGCCTCGAGGCCCAAAAATCCTATACTTACCCTGTTGTCACAGGCTTAGCCTTACCTACGCTTGGTGGGCTTACATTAAAGGGCATCACCGTCATTTTTGCCAATATGATTATTGGAAAAAGTCGTGTTATCTTCAGACAAACCACCAAAAGCTTAACGTACTCTTTGAGGAAATGTGACCAACCTCCTTGGATGCCTGACCTTGGCACTCCTAAACCAACATCCCTTGCGGGGCGGCCCTAATTAATGGTTAACATGGCTACTAGGGTTCCTCATGGGCGCACACATGTTTATGGAAACTATGCATAAACGGCACTACACCTCCGCTCACTAAAGGGAGGCTTGGCATGTGAATCTGGCCTAAGCATGTCCCTACACCTCGCCAGCCCCATATCCTAGCCGATTGAGCTATCTCGTTGCCCATAACGCACGGATGTGTTCCGACCCAACGGTTACCTATCATCATTGGCACAACAAGTGCCTAGCATCATCGGCATACAAAAGCCCCTCTCATCGGCACCAAGTCGCCTCTTATCTGACAATCCCCCTTTAGCACGTAAACGGCACCTCCCATGGACCAGAAAGAACCAACAAAGAACCCCGACCATACGAACTGTGGTAATGATCCAATGCTACTGACCTTGATGGAGCCATCTCATCGAGCAATTCCTAACCCCAAGCACACACACAAGGCTTGGCCTGGCCTGCCTTGGCCTGAACGCCGCACGGGACACTATGGCAGTGCTATGCACCTTCACCCCTCCCATCCCGTGATTAAAATAATATGACAATCTCGACGAAATTAACCAACTAACAAAACTAGCAAGTGCTGAAATATCCCTGATCTTAAACTAGGAACATACATCCAATAGGAGTCAAGACACTAAATCTATAACAAAATTCAAAAAAAAAAAAAAACGAATTAGCTCAGTACTAAAATTCAACTTTCAGGAGAGGTTTGTGCAACCCCACTCTGCTGAGCAGCCTGAGGAACTGGACCTGCATCCTGCGCTCCATGAACATTCCCTCCTGCAGCATTGTCAGATGAATAAGCAGGCTGAGAATAACCTCCACTATAGGAATCGCTATAAGGCTGCTGCCCATAACCAGGCTGGGCTGCAGTTGGTGCACCATAAGGCTGTTGACCGTAGCTTGCCTGAAAACCACCTGACCCAAAACCTGAAGGTGGGGGTTGCTGAGTCCGATGGTGGCTTGAGTCTGGCTGTGCATACCCCGATTGTGTAGGAGGCTGTTGAGAATAACCCGGTTGACCAGCTACAGGTTGAACATAGGAGGTTCCCTGGGTGTTGGGAGGCTGCTGGGGCTGTCCATACAGTTGACTAGGAGGTGGCTTCAGGGTCTGAGGTGGTCCATAGCTTGGCTGGGTAAGTGGTCCAGATTGACCAAAGCCGCCACTCTGTGGTTGGCTTCCGTAACTTGGTTGTGAAGTTGGAGGCATTCCATAACTTGGCTGACTTGCTCCTTGAGGATAGCTTGAGGGCGTGTTGCTAGGCTGCTGACCAGCATATCCCTGCTGGGAAGCAGCCGAAGGTTGAACAGGTGGAGGGATTTGTGGTGTTGCAGGAACTTGAGTAGCGCCCCCTTGTGCTCCATAAGATGCTGGAGGTCCATCTTGTGCTGGGCCACCCACAGCCCCATAGGTGGGTGCAGAAGTATAGCTTTGTTGCTGGTCATATCCCGGCTGTGGATTTGATTGTGGCTGAACATATCCTGGTTGAGGTGCTGGTGTGTGATAACCACCACCATAACCATCCTGAGGATAGCCTTGTTGCCCGACAGGTGGGTTAGCATAATTTGGATCTCCATAAGGCCCCTGATGATTGTAACCAGAACTTGGTGGTTGACCATAACTGTAACCAGAGTTGTCAGCAGGATTCGAAGGTCCTCCCTGAGTTTGCTGTTGTTGCTGCTGTGCTGGAGGTTGTTGATTGTAGTAATCATATCCACCACCCTGAGTAGTTTGCTGACTTGCTGGAACTGGTGTTTGATCCCACCCAGAAGAATATCCTCCTGATGTTTGCTGAGGTGGATAGCCAGCATAAGACGGCTGAGACATGTTGTACTGAGTTGGTGGCCCTGGATAAGCTCCAGGCTGCATATAGCCATAGCCGGGTTGCTGCATTGGTGGTGCACCAGGTGGACCCCAACTCATTGGAGGTCGTGGAGGCCTGTAACCTTGCTGAGGATATCCCCCAGCCATTGGAGGATTTCTAACACGATTCTGCAAGACATTGTACATGTGAACCAACACAAACTTCTCCAAATACACACAAGCAACAAAGGTAAACACCAAAACATGAAATATGTAAAGCAGCTAGGCATATTCAAACATTAAAAAATCAACATAAAGAAACATTACACTGGTTAAAAGCTGACAAAAAGGAAGTTTGTTGCTTTCAAAAAAAATAAAGTTTGATGCATTGCAAATGCATATTTTGCATTGTGAGGGTAAAGACGCCTACATACCGTACTGGTGATGAATTATTCAGGTTACGCCAGCATATGCCCATCCTCTCTCTACTTGAAGTGAATGGGTACAAAAAGAAAGTGGCAAAAAGCTACAAAAGGCACTAAACAGGAAAGCAGAGAAGCAGGCAGACTATTGATAGGTGGCAACAAGTTTGTCAAATATCACTCCCACAGTTTCAAGATTAAGAAATAGAAAAATAGAGTCAAAAGCAAAGGCAGCTCATATAAGACAATAGAACTAGCCTAGAAAAGTTTAATGTAGCACAGAACAAAAATAACATCAGCTGCTATATGATCAAATCGATCACCTCACCAGCACACCACCCAACAAAGATGCCTATAGCTTTCCTTCTGCTAGAACAGTAGCCTATACCTTGATCAACTGAATATGAGACATCAAAGGTCTGAGAACCAACAAAGAAGAATATTGTTCTATACTGACAAAACTAACACAAAGTTGTTCCTGAACCTTGACGAACAGGTATTATAAGAATACAAAGTTGAACAGAAAGGTATTAAACTTTTATGTGTAATCGTAAGACAGTATATTGCAATATAGAAATAGAGACATTGAACTGAAACAAAATATCTATGACAAGACATTGCCAAGGATGCATTACTTGAAAGAAAGGCAACACGACAGGAAAACTTGTTAGATCCAACCAAAAAAGTAATCCTGTAAAAGAAGCAAAGGCATATCCCGTGTATAGAATATGAAAAGATACACCAGCTTCAAAAATACAATAGCAAAAATAAATTGCAGTAAAAAAAGCATCAGCTACATCAACCAAATGATGAGAAAAAGTAGACAATTTTTAAACTGCCCAACTGTCATTACACAGGTATGGCCTGACACAAAGAAGGTAATCACAAGTCCTATTTATTTTCATAACAAGGCTGGAATGATGAGATGCAACATAGACTAACAACTCACCAGAGAATATTGCAAGGATAAACAAGGCAATTCTTCATACTATACCTGGAGGCAGTCAAACTGGTTCAACTTCAGGTGGTTCCATTAGGGGAAAGAGGTAGCATTAACAAGATTTTAGGTCAGACAATGTTAGACCACAAGACAGAAATAGCACTTTTAAGGTCACAAATCATCAACCAAGTCCCCTCCTCCCAAACCAGCAGGGCTGAACTGGATCTGCATCAGAAGATTGTCTCCTAAAAAGAGGCACGTGACCAAGCAAAATTGAACTTACGGGCTATGGCCAATTAAAACCCCAATAATCTAAGTTGAATCATCAGAAACTCCCTTAACATTAATAAAGGCCAATTTTGTGTAAAACCATATAAAAGAATGGATGGCTCTACAATGCCAGATCTAACCCTTGATTAAACATTTAGATAGAGAATAAAACTAAATAAACCTTTGGTTCCATGTATGGTTAATTGAGGAACAGAATTTCTACCATAATGCATTGTATCAACAGAATGCAAGGAAGATTGAGGAGCCCAAAGACTTGTGCTTTCATAAAGTCACAATTAACCGAAACAGAGAGACATTGACAACTGAACATAAAAACAGTACAATTAGATAATCCTGTTGCAATTTCTTCACCTTCAAAAATCATTTACAATTTCCCAAAATTTCCATCAACAAGAGTTCTCCAGAAGATCAATCAGTTATAAGCAAGCAAGCATAACCATAACAGAGTCATGCCAAACAAACTCCAAATAAGGAATTAATATAAAGTAAGCATCGTTACACAATTTGCACCAATAAAAGCTAATCCTAAAATAATTCCCAATAATGAGTCTATACGATAGATACAATCAATACAAGTATTTGGATAGCCAGATAGGCTAATGCTATTATCCCAATAATGGCCCACTTTGACATCTAGCCAAGGACAGCTGTAAACCATGATTCAAATAGGAGGCATTTGAATAATTTAATAACTTCAATTGAAACAATAACATGAGACCTGCTTCACGAACTTGAAGATCCGTAAATCCAGCAGACAGCCCCAACTAAAGATTAATGTTTTGCTTTACACAACACCGAATTTGTACAATACAATAACCTCAATGGCAACAAAACCTCAGGCCTACTTCAGAAAACTGAAGATTCGACAAATCCATAGAAAATCAATAAACTGACTAGAACATAAAATACATTTTTTATGTTCCCTCACAAAAGCTTCCAAGATCGAAGTCCAACATTTGAGAATACCACTTATGGATCTAATCGTAACGCATCTCCACAAACCACTTCAGTTAGGAAATTATAAAAAGGCACTGGCAGATACAACAAGACTATGCAATCAACCAGTAACTTTGTAGGCTCATAATCTCAAGAACCAACCATAATGATCACACCTACAAGAGGTCCAGGCAGATATGGTAAAAAAGCACAGACAACCAGGATAACCAAGGCGCTGAATCGCTGATGTAACTCAAAAAAATATATATAGGAGTGGACAGTATTCACTCAAAGATAAATAAGTACAGTAAAAAACCCACCTTCTTCAAGAATGGATGTTATCCCCTAATACCAAGTTATGAATTGATTCTTCACCACTAGTTCTGTGCACGTTAGTGTCAAAATTGTGCCTAGAATCTTCCTGATCCTTGGGCATCCTCAAGAGAAAGCAATAAACTCAAAAAACAAACCATTTTTATAGAATGTAAAAGAAACATAACAACAGAACTAATTAAAGATATCAAAGTTCAAAAATAGACACCAGCTTGACCACAAGGTCCAAGCATTTATAAAGATAATCAGAAAGCAAGTCCAATCCAATTTTTTGTTGGCAAAAAGAAGGCGAGAGATTCAAACAAACATCAAGAACATAGTTCCTTAAGGTAATAATGGAATCTATATAAGAAACAAATATAGACATGAAACTGTTCAATCAGATCAAGGCTAACACCCAAGTCTTTTAAAACTATAATGAATAAAATAAATAATGCCATGGTTTTCAAACACATAAACTTCATTCATAAACCGAAGAATATTGCAAAACCAGTCAGGTCCAGCCACCAAAGAAATGTAAGGCAAGAAGTAATAATATATTAAAAGTACTAATTAAGTTTGGAACAAGAACTGCCAGAGCAGGACAATACACATATAATAAAAAAGAAAAGCCACACAAGTTCCCCTTTCTATAGGATTGAGAAGTCTCAATTGTAAAGCACTACTAATCTTCCACATATAGTAAATGACAAGAGCTACCAAAATGAAAAATCAGTATCTCCAAAAATAACTGATGGATAAACCGACTAAACCTTAGAAATGTTTGATGGGCACCATAAGCACTATAATATCCTTAAGCAGTTCAAAATTA